GAAGGAAAAATAAAAATCCGCAGGGGGGTTCCATGAGGAAATGGGCCAAAGAACAGACGAGAGCTTTGCCTTGTTCTGTCGTCCTGTCACGGCTGGGCCTTTTCTATGTTCCCGTGTGATCTGAATGGAGCAGGAAGCATTGGAGGGGAAGTGGCGACTGCTGGCCTTGAAGGTCTGAGATGCTCCCCCCTCCTCCAATCCCCTGGAGCACAGGAGCAGATGGAGGAGATGAAGAAGAAAGAGGACCACCTGGAGAAGGAAATGGCGGAGGTGCTCTTGGAGAACAAGAGGTTGGCAGAGCCGCTGCAGCGAGCCCGGGATGAGGTCTCTGAGCTGCAGAGGAAGCTGGCTCACTACGAGAAAGACAAGGCCATCTTGGCAGTAAGCGGCAGGGCTCTTGGCTTGGCACAGGCATTCAGGCGGCTCATAGGGCGCTGGGTGGGTGGCGGAGGTGACCCAGTACCAGCAACCAGAGCTACAGTGGCCCTCTCCCAAGGGGTGTGGAAGGGGGAGGGTGGGCGCTTTCTCCTGCTCCTACCACTTTTCTGCTGACTGCCTGAAAGGAGCTTCCGGGCGATGAGCAGTTGACCAATCCCTTAAGGCCCTCAGAATTCGGTGGCATGGGGTCAGCAGAGATTGGCATTCACGGAATGAAAGTTGAGGGGTGTAAAAGAACCTTGGTGACCTCCTTGGCCTTCTTACCCTCCTTTGGTGTGTTCTGCCCCACAAGGGTCCTCTATTCCCACAACCCTCAAAGGTCTCGCAGCTCTTCTGAGCCCCCTCCCCTCCCCCCCCCAGAGTATTCGGGCCCGGCTGAAAGTCACCGAGAAAGACCTGAAGGATCTCCAGTGGGAGCACGAAGTGCTGCAGCAAAGATTCATCAAGGTGAGGGCTGAGCCCGAGTCTCTGCTTGGGGGCAGGAGGGAGGCAGCGAAGAGCCAGCAGGAACTCTTCCCCCACTGTGGGCTGGCACACTTGGCATGGACTGAAAACTGCTGGGAGGTGGGTCACCCGCTGCGTTACCTCCCCACTCAGCCTTTAGATGCCGAGGAGGTTCTCCGCGTGCCGAGCGGAATCTGCTCCCGAGCAATTTTTCCTTTGCTGCTGTTTCCCTGCCTGCCTGCCTTCTGTCCGGCTGCAGGGCCTCCTTAACAGTGGCCACACAGCCTGAAATCGCTTGATGCCCACCCCCCCTCTGCGGTTGACGTTAGAGGGAAGTGGCCTTGCTGACTTGTCCCCACAGGTTCAGGAGGAGCGGGATGACCTGTACCAGAAGTTCACCAAAGCCATTAATGAGGTACAGCAGAAAACGGGCTTCAAGAACCTGCTGCTGGAGCGGAAGCTGATTGGCCTCGCCAACCTTCTGGAGAAGAAGGAGGTGCAGCTGAACGAGGTCTTGGCGGCCTCCAATCTCGATCCCAGCGCTCTCAGGGTGGTCACCCACAAGCTGGAGGTACGGCCCCCGTCCCCCTTGTCCCTCCCCTGCTGGCCAAGGTCTGCTCTGGCCAGAGGGAGGAAATCGGTACCCCGGCAGCCTGACCTGCTTGGTGAACAATAACGGGAGGGAGGTGCATCCCGGCAGGGGCCCCCCTGAGACCCGCCCCTCCTTCCAGCAGCTGCTCTTGCTGCCAAGTGCTCTGCCTTCTTGTGCTCAGCTGCTGCTCATACCGCATGGGGCACCCAGCCCATCAGAATTGCTCTGCTTGCCGGGTTTTCAGCCCGTTTCCTGGGGACCAGTCAGCCTTACTGTGACTTGCAAAGCAGAGGGGGCAAGATGGGGGAAGAGCACAAGAAGGAAGGTCAGGGAGCCTCCCTGGTCAGCCGTACCCCCCTCCCCCCCCCGGCGGCTTTGGAGCCTTTGGTGCCTTGAAGGGGGCTTTAACAGGCCGTGTTTTTCCTTCGCAGGATGTGCTGGACTCCAAAAACAACGCTATCAAAGACCTGCAGTACGAACTGGCCAGGGTCTGCAAGGTAAGAGCCGGGAGTGGAAGGGGCCTCCCTGGGGGGCCTGGGTGAGGCCTTGCTCCAGTGTCAGAGCTGTGGGGCCCCCAGAGACCCTTTGCTGGGGAAGCCGCTTCTGCTTGTAGCCTCATGGAGCCCTGCGGTATTTGGAGTGCCTCTGCAGCCCCCTCTTGACCTGTTGGACTGCAGCCTCACCCCAGGCCTGCAGCTGTCCTAGGCAGCAGGGAGAGAGAGCTCCAAAGGGGAGACCGGCACCCTCCCTCGGGGGGGCCGGGGGATTCCCTCTCAGTCCCCAGCTCCCCCTTCGGCATCACAGCCCCCCACCTCTCCCCTCGCAGGCACACAACGATTTGCTGCAAACCTATGAGGCGAAGCTGGTCTCCTTTGGGATCCCCTTGGACAACCTGGGCTTCAAACCCCTGGAGACCTCCCTGCTTGGACACACCCTCGGCCAGGGCCCTGCAGGATTCGTCTCGACGCCCACATAGCAGAGCTGGGAAATCCTCCTCTGAAGCCGAGCCCAGCCAAGGCTCCTGGGGCTCCTGGGGGCCAGTGGGGGGAGCGGCCCACCCAAAACAGAGACTGGGCTCTCCTGCAGGCCTTTTGTATTAAAGCCTTAAGGGGCCTTTTTGTAAATGGCTGGTGTGCAGCAGGCTTTGATTTACCCTCACAACAGCCTTTCAAGGTAGATCCTTTATTAGTCTTGGCTTTCCTCAGAGGACAGCCTGAGCCGGCCTCACAGCTGGCCTCAGGGGCGGTCCCGGATCCCAGGGCAGCCCTCCGGAGGGAAGCCGTGCCTCTCGCACTAGTTCCCCCGGTAGGTCACGTAGGAATAGGGGCTGAGCAGCAGCGGGATGTGCACCTTTTCTTCGGCCCCCGTGAGGGTGAAGACCACCTGCAACAAGCGAAGGGGGAGAGTTGCGGGGTCTCTTGGGCCTGGCAAGGGCACCTTCCAGGCTGCAGAAGCCCAGAGGCCCAGGGCCCACAGTCTGTGGCCAGGCGGGGCCCCCAGGACAACAGGAGAACCCAACTCACTGGCTCTCGTGCAGCTGAAACGGAAACTTACTTCCACGTAAGGGTAGAAGCTGGTGAGGCCCTGTTGCTGCCAGTACTCTGTGGTGGCAAAGTGCAGCTTGTAGGTGCCATTTTCCAGCGGCAGGGAGGCCAACTTGCTCCTGTCCATGCAGCCGTCCGTGCTGGTTGCGCTGCAATCAGAAGAGAGCGGGTGAGGCTGGGGGCTCCCAGCTGGCCAAGGGAGGCAGGGGCTGCCCTATCTCCATACCTGGTCATTAGTTCCATCCAGGCCTGGTTGGGGGCTGGGAGCCGAGAGAGGTGGACGGCCAGGCCGGTGGCAGGAAGGCCAGTGAGCACGTTCAGTGCATGGACGCTCAGGGATGTGTGGTGGCCCTCGCTGGGACTGGCAACCTGGATCCGAACAGAGAGCCCCGTGTGAGCCCAACCCTCCCGACAGAGCTTCTTCCCGCCCCTCGCAGCCCCCTTCCAACCACAGGAGGAGGGCGGGTTCCCTGGGGTCCTGCGAGGGGGAAGACCCTGCTGTGCCCAGAGGGTGGGGCTTCTGCAGGTCTGCCCAGTTTCCTGGGTGATGCCCCCCCCCCTTTCTG